ACTTGGGCATGGCACCCCCACACCGGGTAGCAATACCTTGACCACACTTTGTGATGTCACTTTTTTTCAACATTATAAAGTCTCCAGCAGAGACTTTAGGTAGAGTCACCATGTCCTCAACAGAGGAAAGCAGCTTGGCAACAACTCCTGAAAACCAAAAAGTGGAAAAGACAGAAGACCTTTCTTCCAACAAAACAACTGGGGTGAGGAAGTCAAATCTATTTCACTGGACTGAGCAGGATGCTTCTGACATAGAGGTGGGTGGGGAAAGTTTTCTTCCAGGTACTCCTTTTAAAAATCTGCTTGTAGAGCCTATTGGGCATCCTAAAATATACCTTTGTTTTTTGGATCCTAAAGGGCTGCCTTAACAGCCTGATTTCATTGTAGAAGTACCAAAAACTTCTGCAATGAGGTGGTAACTTCTGAAAACCAAAAAGTACAAAAAGCAGAAGAGCTTTCCTCCAACAAAACATGAGGTGAAGTATTCTAACAGTTTGGAGACTGAAATAGGCAGCGGGGAAGGATCATCAGTGACCACAAGTTACAATGACTCTGAAGAAGATATGAAATTGGAGGCATGACACCATAATCAGAAATGTCAGCGGCTTGTGCTTAGGAAAGGAAAACTCTGACTTCAAACCCCCATTGAGGCACTGCCATTGTCCTCCATGCCATGAGGCTCAAATTATACTTCTCATAAAAACACAATATTTTATTGCAATTGGAAATCCTGGGTCCATATTATTTTAATAATATTTAACTCTCTTAAAGCTTCATTCAGAGCCATGCAGTAATATGGCCAATTAATTTGTCAATTCAGAGGCTGTGTCAGAAATAATGGGAAATGCTTCAGACTGTTTGGCGCTCCAGCTTGGTATCAGCTATGGTGCTCGACACCAGCTTTCTGGGATTTCACTGAGGAGACTTTTCCAACCCTATCTGGGGCCTTTTGCACACAACACATGTACTTTACCGCTAAATTACCTTTCCTAAATGTGTGACCCGTAATTTCCCTGATGGAAGCCTTTGACTGGGAATCTAAATCAGGACTTCACTCACCCCAGCAAGAACAATGTCAACAAGGAAGACACAAGAACAGAAGTAAAGGTACTGGCTGCTTCTTCAACATACAGTATAGTGTTGTCACCTAGTCTCCAAATCATCTGGGGCTCAGGAATAAATTGTCCACAGGCCCATCAAATTGGATATTCTTCAAAAATAACTTCCAAAGTTATCTTTGCTGCAGACATTAGTAACCCCCATTAAGTGTGCCAGTGGGAGCATCCTTTCAAACACAGCACAGCTTCATTTCCTAGTCTTACCCTCAGCAAAATAGTAAGAGACATGCATAGTTTGGAACGACTGGAGAACCAACAGTTTACCTCACCCACATAGCGATGGCCGTGGCTCACTATTACTGACAATGAACAAAACTCACAAGTTCAGTTTAATGAAAAGGGAGAGAGAACTGGGCCTGGCCAGTTTTGAACAGTACATCACCCATAAATGTTTAACTCATATTTCTTATTTACAATACTGAACACCTGCCTCAACAAAAATTATATGAAGACATGAGAACAATACATTGCATAGAGCGTTCACAAAGAAAACTCAATGAGGCCTTGTCCAAATTTGTACTGGCACAAATCCAGATTTTGCAGAACACCTTGCCAGTCTTGAGAATACAAAATGCTGGGGGAGAGCAGGAATAAGCTTCACATTTCAACCAAAAAAAAAAAAAAGCTTTACCAATAGTGCACAGTTATTTCATGAGATTTTTCAAATGGTCAAAATTTCTAGGACATGATCAAGGAGGTGTTTTCTTATATTATAACAAAATTGTAAAAAAAGTGTTGAGGAGATATACAAAGAGGAAGAGGACCATGAATCACTCATTTGTTCTATGACTCTGAGAGTTAAGTAAGTCTCAGCATCATAGGATCATAGAATCATTGAACAAGTGCCGAGAACTGGACTCTGTATTCGAGCTGAGGTCTGACCAAGGCAGAATAGAGCAGTATTACTACTTCCTTTGATCTGGACTAAGTACTGCATTTTTTTTTCATGACATGTTTTCAAGTGAGTGCTTATATCCCAAAGCTTCATATTTGACTAGAATATTGTAAACAGTTCAGAATACCGTTGGTTGGATCTGGACTTCATTAAATTTAGCATCAATCCATTGGAAGCAATGGGATTTAAATTAACCCTGATTAGTGTACTCTTTTGATTGGGGTGGCAAAACTGAAACCAAGTGTTTAAAATACAGTAAAATAAATGATTGACCATACTTTATTCTTTTTATCTTTATCTGTTTTAAGGGGGTTGGGGGACAGCAAAGGTCAACCAAGGACTGGACAATGTCTTTCATTCTCCAGCATGATACAGATCTGATGTACGTGTTTTAGCAATGCCTTACTTTACTTCCATTCACTCTTTTCAAAACAGTTACAGAAACAGGAATTCCATTGTTTTCTCAGAGCTATTCATGTCCTTATCTGACCAAAAAAATAATGTTGTCAACAGCCTGTTCTATAAAGCTTGATTATCAGGGTGTTTTTTGTATGGCACTTGTAAATTGATGACCATGACTACCAAAATGTGTTCTTGTTCACATTTCAGGAGCTGTTTGCAAAATTAGTAGCAAATATGCTGAGCATGCTGTCTAGGTTTTCAGTGCAAGCAGAACTGTGAATCCAAACTTCAGCTAATCCTTCCCAATTGTTAACATATTATGTTGTAGGAGCCCAATTTTAGGACCATCAGAGCAACAGGAGATTTGTTGCTTTACAAGAAAATGCACAAGAGGCACTTGTTCTGCAGATATATACTAGGCAGTGTTCCTCTTTCTTTATAATCTTCACTTGGTAAACCGAAAACACAGTTTAAGATACTCAGGGGCTCTATTCACTATTAGACAATTAGAGACCTGTTTTTATAGTCTATTTCTAGTAATTAAGATTATGCTTCATAGTAATTGTTATGACACTGCATTGAGAGACTCCCTTAATGTTGTATTAATTTTAAGAACAACAAAAAGTGCTGTTGAATTAAACCGAAGACCACATCATCCAATATTATATTCCCATCACTGTCTAGTTCTGTGTTCTTGAGAAGCCCATAAAACAAAACCTGAAAGCAGTGGTTGCCAGCTCAATGGTTTGCCCACTAACATTTCACCACCATAGGTAAGTTGCCTCTCAGTTCAAATCATTGCGGCAAATGCCTATTGACTGATACTCAGTCTATTGATCTATTCTCCATTGATCCAATAAAGCCTTCAAAGTCATCTAAAGCAAAGAATATTCCGTGTGTTCAACATGACAGGTAGTTTCCCCACTGATGTTGGGGTCTTCTGAGAAATGTAGTCCAAAAAAGAATATATCTTATGTGATGGGTTCAGGGACCACTCAACCACACTACCCTGTTGATCTTGAAGTGGGTAAGCCCAGAAGAGTTAAATGTGGTAATTGCTAGGGAAACTGCCTGACCCTGGTAGCTCCCAATCCTTTGGTCTGATCTAACTAAGCAGTGCTTTCAGGGAGTTCCAAAAAATCTACAAGGTTAGTGTTCAAGGCTGTCATGTCAATCCTGCAAGGTAGAATTGCCACCACAAAAATACACACTTCCGGTAGGTGGTCAAGGCAAGAACTGGTTTTAAGTACCACAAGCCTTCTTAGTCAAAGATTCAGACAATTGAATGGAGTTTTAAATATTTTATTAAAGATAGTGAAAACGTCAAAGAGGCAAAAGTTTTAAATGGTCCCATCAAGGCATCAAAACCATTTTGGACCAAACAAATGATTGAAATCAAAGGAAGTAGCAATACAGAACAAACATACACAAAAATAAGAAAGCCAACAACACTACCTCAGAGCATTCTCAGCATGGCATAACAGAACAGCAACTGAGCAAAGCATCTCCTAAAAGATAACTAAGCAAACTAAAGTAACTTCTGAACTTCTTTTTACACCTTATTCATTGCCTTCTCAACTTTTTGAGATGGTCTGCCAACTAGGTTTTATGTTTCCTCAAATGCGTATGAAGACAAGAGCAGTTTCTGCCTGCCTCCATTCACACCCAGCTCAAATCATTTTCCAATTAACACAGTACCAGGGAAGCAGCCAACCTGGCCTTTAAGTCTTTGCTCATAAGATAAACTACAGGTGATACTTTTGTTTCTTTGTGGGCAAAATCTGCTCCCCATCTTTATCCCAGCCAGATGTTCCCAGGCACTGAGAAAAGCATGAATTTTCCAGAAAGGCCCCCAGCCCTTGTTTCCCTAGTCATTCAGTTTCTTCACATCCTACTGATGCAGAAGGCAGCTAGATCAAAGAAGATAATACTAAATGCAGCATGATAAAAGAAGCTTCCTTTGAAATCAGCTTCTTCTACAAAACAATATAATAAAGTGTTTATCTCTAATTTCCCTGTATTATCAACAGTGGGGTCATTTTCAATGTAAGATTGTCCTTCAAGACTGGAACACACAGATTTTGGAAACATTATTGCGAAGTCTAACACTTCAGTGCTACTTTGTTTTTTAAATGCTGAGTTTTAACATGCTACTCTTTGAGGGGTTTTAAATAATTTTTATGCTATAGTGAGTATGCCAGAAGGGCCATAAACATCCCAAAATGACCCTCCCAAAAATATGAAGTAACAAGTAAATATTATACATAACTGGTAATTATACAAACTGGTGTTTGTGTTCATTCTGTTGTTTTCAAATTAACATTGCGGCTCTATCGGGCCCCAGAAGTAAGATGCTGCAACTAATGTCATGCAAGTAAACTGTTACTCCAAAGTTGTGAGGGACATTGTGTTTAAATCTGTTCTGGACTGTGGCCCAGGGCCTTAAACCACTTTCAGACCATGAAATACCTGAATTGCAGGTTCTTGCCCTTCTCAATGACAGATAGCATTTGCTGAATGACACAATAGACCAGTCTTTGTAAGAGGGGAAAAAAGGAATTACCCATAAGTATTACTGGCATGCCAGTAATCTTTATAACCCTTGATTTTTGCAAAGGAAGAGCAAAGGATGTAAATCCTACTGTGTCTTAACATAATGCTTTATTCTTTAAACGTTGCCAACTGCACTGTCTGTTGTAATATTTGCACAACATAGCTGGCACCCTCCTAAAATGAAACTGGACTCCAGGCTGTGTGTATTGCTTTTGTCAAGCAAGTTGGGGAACATTCTTTCCCCCTTTTCATAAATCTATGAGATAGCTTCTCTCTTGAAAAATTTCTGTTGCAGTATAAACACTGGCAGCAGGCTGGTGGAAACTCAGCTCATCTTAAAAGTTCTACAGCCCGGAAGCCTGTATTGCAACCTCTACCACTACAGAATTTGGGGTGTAGGACGGGGTAGATGAAGCATGGTTACAGGTTTTCCGTCTTGTTGTTAGGAATATGAAACATAAATCTAACAATTTGCTCAGCCTTTAGGAGTACAGGCCTGTGTACAAATTCTAAATATACATCCTAACGTTTTCATACACAACTACTTTCATGATGAATTGGGTTATTGTTAGTTAAATGACCATGTGTTTATTTGGGGCTTGCATTTTAATCTTCCAGTTCAGCCTTTTTAACTTGCTTAGTAACCGTGGAAATTAATAGTAACAGTCTATAAATAGAACTCTACTTCCCTGAGGAGCAGAGAATCAAACTTCAGTTTAATTGCACTCAATATGTAGCGATTAAATGAACCTTTCATTAAACCCACACAACGCAAAGGTCAAGAATGCTTTCTCCATCTACCACTTTATCTCAATCTGTTTGCTTTTGCAAAGTCTCAGATAATTTACTGCCGCTCATTATGACTAGAGTTACCTATAAAAGAGAAGTGATTTCTCATTTTCATATTTGTTGCAGACAAGCAAACAACTGCACATAGAGCAAGCAGGGGCCATAGAATACAACTGCACTTCACACGGTATCCTGTGGCTCAAACTCGCTATCCTTTGAGGCTTAATCTGCTCCCTGGGCACAGAAGAGCAGCAAAATAAACCTGTTATCTAGAATTGTTCCTTACCTTTCAGCCATGTTGACCAAGTGCTGCTTTCTTCCCCACCCAGTCTTGGCAAACTGACTAGCTGTGAGCAGAGCATCAAACTTTCTTAACTCCACCTCTGGTAAGATTGACCATTTGCCCCACCTCCAACCTGGTCACCGAGAGCTGCCTTTGAGTAAGACAGGAAGAGAAGTGTGAAGGAGAGACTCCGCAGTTAGTTCCTCATTTGCCACCTTTGTGGCTTGTCAAACTCCACTAGGCTGAGACAGAGAAACACAGCAGCCAACACTGGGCATTCCATGTTGTTATTTTTATTGATGGGGCTGAACTTGATGATGCACAAGGTCTCTTCCAGCTCTGCAGTTCAAAGATGATGATGACTATTATTATTAATGTTGTTGTTGTTGTATATTCCATCAAGTTGCCTTCAACTCAGGAATGACCTTCAAAAAGTCCTGTGTTCAACCCTCCTCTTCAGCTCTTGTAAACTCAAGCCTGTGATTTCCTTTAGGGAGTCAGTCCGTCTCATATTTGGTCTTCCTCTTTTCCTGCTGCCTTTCACTTTCCCCAACATGATTGTGTTTTTCACAGAATTCTGCCTTCTCGTGATGTGCACAAAGTAGTATAGCCTCAGCTTCAGCATTTTTGCCTCCAGAAATAGTTCAGATTTGGGTTGAATTAGGATCCACTTGTTTGTCTCTCTGGCAGTCCAGGGCACAGTGGAACCACTACTTAAGAACCCGGTTTAGCCCACAGCGCCACCACGTTGCCATCAAGTTGCCTTCAATTCATGAATGACCTTCCAAAGGTCCAGTGTTCCACCACCCTCCTCAGCTCTTGTAAACTCAACCCTGTGATTTCCTTTAGGGAGTCAGTCTGTCTCATGTTTGGTCTTCCTCTTTTCCTGCTGCCTTTCACTTTCCCCAGCATGACTGTGTTTTTCACAGAATTCTGCCTTCTCGTGATGTGCCCAAAGTAGGATAGGCTCAGCTTCAGCATTTTTGCCTCCAGAGATAGTTCAGGCTTGATTTGATCTAGAGCCACCTTATTTGTTTCTCTGCCAGTCCAGGGTACAGTGGAACCTCTACTTAAGAACGTAATCCATATTGGAATGGTGTTCTTAAGTTGAAACATTCTTAAGTTGAAGCAAAATTTCCCAAAGGAATGCATAACAATGTTTCTAAAAGGGAGAGCTAATCACTCTAGAAATATGAGGTTTGCATCTTCAAAACTCAGCTTCTCCTGAAGCCCAAATTAAAATGCAATGTGTATTTAAATCAGTGGGCTTTTTATTAAATAGTTTTCTTGTACAGGAAAAAGCAGTATAATGAAGGTTTCATGGCAACATTTCTGTTTCTCAGATGCCACTTGTGTTTATGGTGAGCATTTGGAGATTATTATGGGTCGCTGAGTGCAATCCTTGTCAAGGAAGCGCAGTGGGGAACTGAATTCCCAACCTCTGTCTCCAGAGCCAGGTTAGGTTTGACTTGCAGCCTGAGAATTGACTTACAGACCAGAAAAAAACCAAAATGGAACAAAAACGGCCTGTTACGGGATTAATCGATTTTCAATGCACTGTAGCTCAATGGAGACTTGACCTACAGACTTTTTGACTTGAGAACCGCCTTCTAATACGGATTAAGTTCTCAAGTCAAGACCCCACTGTAGGGAGGTTCTTAAGCAGAGGTTCCACTGTATCAGCAAAGCTCTCCTCCAGCACCACATTAATTATTAATGCTAACAATGTTTCTAAAAGGGAGAGCTAATCGCTCTAGAAATAGGAGGTTTGCATCTTCAAAACTCAGCTTCTTCTCCTGAAGCCCAAATTAAAATGCAATGTGTATTTAAATCAGTGGGCTTTTTATTAAATAGTTTTCTATTTAAAGCAGGAAAAAGCAGTTTAATGAAGGTTTCATGGCAACATTTCTGTTTCTCAGATGCCACTTGTGTTTATGGTGAGCATTTGGAGATTATTATGGGTTGAGTTCAGTCCCTGTCAAGGAAGCACAGTGGGGAACTAAATTCCCAACCTCTGTCTCCAGACCAGATACCTAGACCAGTGAGCTATCCTAAGTATGTGTGTAGTTCTACTGTGTAACAAAAAATAGAATTTTATGAGAAATTCTAAACACCATAGCTATAGTGCCTGACCACTTCCCCTCTTGAGTTCCTGCACGTGGTTTCCCAGCCCTTCAGAGCATGGAGGTCTATACAGTGGTGCCTTGCTTAACGAGTGCACCGTATAACGATTAAATCGCATAGCGATCCGTTTTTTCGGATCGCTAATGCGATCGCTCAACGTTGTTCCAATAGGGAAAAATTCGCTTTGCGAAGACCGGTAAGCGTTTCGCTTACTGATCTTCGCAAAACGACCCCCGCCGATCAGCTGTTCGGCGGCCAAAATGGCCGCCGGAAGCTGGGAAATGGCCTAAAATGGCTGCGCGCAGCGTTTTCGCGCCCTCGTTAAGCGAGGCGAGGGCGCGAAAATGGCTGCCGGCCATCCTGAAGCTTCGCTGAACGGTGAGTATTTGGCCTATTTGGAACTCGCTGCCCCGTTCAGCGATGCTTCAGCATAGCGAAGGTTAATCCGGAACGGATTAACCTCGCTATGCGAGGCACCACTGTAGATGGATTCTGAGAAAAGTGTCCAAAAAAAGTCACTTTTGAAAGTAACCTCCCATCTTCCAACAATAGAAGCAGTTGTACCAGTAGAACCACCCTATTGGTTGATGGGCTTCAGGTGTTTTTTCTAGCATGCTGGCTTGAAACAGCTAGCTGATTCTGAGGCTGGCAGGATATCAAGTTCACTTTTTAAAGCAAATGGATAGCTATGTATTTGTTCCTTCTCAGTTTTCCAGTGGAAAATCTGTGCTCAGATAATTTTATGCAGAACTTTGTATACTGAACGTCTTGGGTTCAGTATCTTGGTTCAGGAAGCACAAATGGAAAATACCTCATTAGGAGGTCTTGGATAGCTGAAACCCTGGTGATCCGCAAACAGCAGTGGGGGGATTCAGATTGCTGTGTGCATTCCAATGTATAATACTGTAGGGTTTTCCTGAACATTACACTCTGTGCTGTTTTAATACTCAATTAGTTTCCAGATTTTCAGTGTTACTCTTCCAATCCCTATTGTGTTACTACTTTGAGGATTATACTTCCACACCATGCTCACCGTAAATTCAACTATGGAGATCACACACACACTATGGGGAGAGTTTTGTTGGTCCTGGTTGCAATACATTGATTTTACACCAGGTGGTAACATGATGTTCTGCTCCTCCCATCTTTCTTTCTTTCTTTCTTTCTTTCTTTCTTTCTTTCTTTCTTTCTTTCTTTCTTTCTTTCTTTCTTTCTTTCTTTCTTTCTTTCTTTCTTTCTTTCTTTCTTTGCATGCTTGCTCCTTATGTGTGACTTTATATTCCACTCCTCTTTTTTCCTGTTAAAGAAGGGAATCATAACATTGCCACTTCCCCCCATCATCTGCACTGCAGTTTTACTTTCTGTTTCTGCCTTAGCTGGCATGGATCCTTGCAATCTCCATCATCAGCTGCATGCCTACAGAACTGGAAAGCTGGAAGGGGACCTATGGATCATTAGATCCAGCCCCTGTCAAGGAAGCACAGTAGGGAATCAAACTCTCAGCTTCTGGCTGCTTGGCCAGATACCTAAACTACTGAGCTACTCAGCAATCCCATTGTGAAGTAATAACTGTGACTTTGAATAGATAGTTACTAACCCATGACTTTTAACATGTGGTTTCACAATAAAATGTCTGTTTATGTTCCAACATCTGCCTCTGTTTATGTTTCTACCCAAGTCAGAGGATGATTTCGTTTAAATAAATATCTTTCTCTCCCCATCACCCATGCCATTGTTTTCTACTTCCTTCTATATACAAACAGAGGCCAAAAGCAAGCACTATATATATATATATATTAGTGCTTGTTTTTGGCCTCTGTTTGCAGAACCACTCCTCCCCTCCCTTGCCTGCATATATGGAAGCCAAATATGCAGTGCTCTTATTTGACTTGCAGGCAACTGATTGGGGGCACTGATGGGATGGCTTCCACATCACAACATACAGCTTCTCCCATTACTCTTCTTTACTATTTGGGGCACTCCTTGCAAGAGTGCCATGGAAAAAAACTTCCACCTGAATGTACCTGCCTGGTATTTTGCTCCATGGTCCAGGACAGCTTTTTCTGAGCTACCAATGCCAAGGGGTTGGGTTCCTTGCTGACGTTGTCTGTACGTGTTCCAGAGTAAATGCCAGACAAGGATCGCTCTGATTTGGACTAGGCAATGAGTGGGTACCCTTGGACAAGACAGGCTAGAGACTGGAGGCACTAAGGTGATGTCTTTCATAACCCTGGCACACCTTTTCTTTGAGCTCAAGCCTCAAAGAGAGGCCAAGAGGAAGCTGGTAGGAGGTCTGTCTACACACTGGAGATCCACTACATTCCCAGTGCTGATAACACTGCTTAGCATCCCCTCATCCCAGGTCATATCCTTTATTTCCCCCAATTTCATTCCCCTGGAAATACACATACCTCCACAAATCTGAGAACAAATCAATCAAGACTGCCTCAGGGTGGGTCAGTCCTGATTTCTGTCACAAATATTTGGATATAAAGCAGATTGAATGGTATTCTCATGCCCTAATTTCTTGCTTGTAAAATAGAAATAGGATAAGCTTGTCTTACTTTATCAGTTTGTTCTCATAAATGCCACCTGAAGGTGTATTCATCCTTGGCCATGGATGCAGGATTTGAAAGGATCCGAAGGAAACAATAGGGAAGCCCCAAGTTTGCTTACAAAGATAATAGTTGATTGAGTAACTTACAGATGCACCCAATAGCTAGAATGGACGACAGCGTGGCTCACAAGTCAGTGCAAGAAATCCGACCAACTATTCAGCAAATCAAGCAGTTTTTATACACTTTTGTTGTTTGCATCCATAGTCTGCAGCTGAGCAATACATTTTAATTGCATTCTGCTTTGATGAGTAGCAGGGACATGGTGGCACTGCGGGTTAAACCGCAGAAGCCTGTGTGCTGCAAGGTCAGAAGACCTGCAGTCGTAAGATCGAATCCAGGCAACGGAGTGAGCCCCCGTCACTTGTCCCAGCGCCCACCAACCTAGCAGT